AAATTATGAATGTGTAGAAAAAGATATAGTTCCTTGCATTTTCTACTTTATTTCCATTAAAAAACCCATTGTCAATATAATAAAAAGAATAAGTAATCAAAGAATTCAAATATCGATAAAATATTTAACTTGTGACCGAACAACACCAATAGATAACTCATGCGCAACGTGCATTTGTGAATTAATGTGTTATTTCGTTCACTCGTTGATTTTTTTTCTACATGATTTCTCGATTAGTTATTCTATAATTCTCATTTAAAAAGTAACAAATTATCAATTACTTTTATTGTAATGAACAAATGAAATGATTCCACATCTCATAAAAAGCTTGAAAAGTTTAAAAATACACAAAAAAATACAATATAATTTTTGTATACAAGTTTTAAGTCAAAAATGAAATTTGACTATATGCAAGTCCACAGACATAAAATGATATCTCTTTTTTAACATTTGAAAAGGGCAATGCCCAGTGCAGAATGATACAACTGCAGCATCATGAGAATGGGAACTCTAATTTATTGAAAAACAAAACTCCAAACATAATACATCTAAATTTAAAAGGTGATTTTATAACCTTCTGGTTCATTAAAGCTTGAACTCATTTGACTGAAAATTATAACATGAAAAGATTTTCATAAAATTCTAAATAAACTATAGTCATTTCAAATGCTTAGACAAAATTAAAAACTATTTAGATGAAAATAAAATAATTTACAACCTTTAATATAATGCCATTTTATTCACTTTAATTTCCTTTTTTTCAGAGACTTAGATAAATCTCTAGTGTTAAACCTTTTCACACTCTAAGGGTGAACTTTCAAACATACATATTCCAACAATAAATTATACATATGTACTCAAGAGCTGTTCTAGATACATTGAAGTCAGAAAGCAATTTACAACTTGATGTGTCTGAACGACACCAAATTGGCCCCACTCACAACTTTTCCTAATATTCTGACAATCCATTCCTGAACAGCCCTTGAACAAAATATTTGAGTTTTCTGGGAAAATCTCATAGTTTCGACATGATTGACTAGTGAACATGAATCACATTGTATGTATATGATTGATTTGATTAAAGCTATAAAAATACAAATGTAAAATGAAAGACTAACATGAGAATGGATTACATAAAATAAACTTCTATCTAAAAGCAATATATTTCATAAGTTCTAATAGAAAATATACATAAAACAGTACAAAAAAATGTAAAAATTTTAATTTACCTAAAAACAAAAATAAAGTATGATTGTAATTATTATGTAAAATGTTTTATATGCTTATTTTTTATGGATTTTTCCTCAAAAGAATTACATTCTTAAAGAAGTCACTGATTAGCCAAAACCTGAGTTGTGCAAATTTTTGGCGGTTCTTAGAGTTAACTTATAAAATTGCAAAGCTCATTGTAATAAAAGAAGAGTTCAAATGTCCCCGGGTTGCGCATATTTTGTCTATCCAAGGGCAATAACTAAAAAAAAAAAATAATGGCTTGAGAGCAAATAAATGGCAAATTCCAATATAATTAATATTTCCAAGGGCCATAACTCCTTTAAAAATATTTGATTGGCACTGATTTGTACACTTGTCTAAGACATTTGCTTATATAAACATTTGATAAAAATCTGGCAAAAATTGTACACATGAGAGTGCTTACAATGAAATTTTCCATATAATTTAAATTTTCAAGGGGCATAACTCTTTTCAAAAATAATTGATCAACACTGATTTCGAACTTGTCCGAGACATTGCTTATATAAACCCATGATATAAATTTCATAAAAATCAGTCAAGAATTGTACACATGAGAGTGTTACAATGAAATTTTCCATAAAATTAATATTTCCAAGGGACAAAACTCTTTTAAAAATATTTGATCGGCACTGATTTTCGAAACTGTCCGAGGCATTGCTGATATAAACCTATGATATATTTTTTTATAAAAATCTGTCAAGAATGGTACATGTGTGAGCACTAACAAAAAGGGAAGGACATTCAGTATTTATATGATCCGAAAACATCACTCGGGGGACTAAAAATAACTATATTATGTGGCTTTCTTGGATGGGCCTAATGTTTTGTTGTACAATAATTCAAAAAATGTCCTACACAACAATATACTAGGCCAAAGCACAAAGAGTAAAATCTGGAAAAGAATTTTCATAGTTATATCATCAAAACCTAGAATTATAGTGTTTATACGTAAGTGCCTTATAGACAGGAATGGCAGATAAAGTACCATCATAAACAAAAATATAATAAAATGCTCCGCAGGGCGCAGCTTGATACGACCACAGAGGTCGAACCCTGAACAGTTGGGGCAAGTATGGACACAACATTCAAGCTTGATACAGCTCTGAATTTGGATTGTGATTAAATATTTGACACAGCATAGGTTTCTGACACAGAATGAATGTGGTCTAAGAACTTAAAAATTTTAAATTGGACATTCAACTATTATGGTCCAATATCCAAAATCTAAATACATGGTTAGATTCAGCATATCAAAGAACCCCAAGAATTCAATTTTTGATGAAATCAAACAAAGTTTAATTTTGGACCCTTTTGACCTCAATGTGGACTAAGTTGATAATGGGGCCCAAAAATCAAAAATCTAAATACATGGTTAGATTCAGCATATCAAAGAACCCCATATATTCAATTTTTGTTGAAATCAAACAAAGTTTAATTTTGGACCCCGATTTGGACCAACTTGAAAACTGGGCCCATAATCAAAAATCTAAATACATGTTTAGATTCAGCATATCAAAGAATCCTAAGAATTCAATTTTTGTTAAAATCATACTAAGTTTAATTTTGGACCCTTTGGACCTTAATGTAGACCAATTTGAAAACAGAACCAAAAATTAAGAATCTAAATACACGGTTAGATTCGGCATATCAAAGAACCCCAATAATTCAATTTTTGATGAAATCAAACAAAGTTTAATTTTGGACCCTTTGGACCTCAATGTGGACCAATTTAAAAACGGGGCCCAAAATCCAAAAACTTAATACACGGTTAGAATCAGCATATTAAAGAACCACAAGAATTCAAGAATAAAACCCCATTGAAATTGGTCAAGAAATAAGCAATTTATACGAAGTATCTTCTTTTGTACAATACTGTGCAATTGAATATTTCTTGCTATTGCGCAATACTGTACAATTGACAATTTCTTGCTATTGCGCAATATTGTGCTATTGGATATTTCTTGCTATTGCACAATACTGTGCAATTGAAGATTTCTTGCTATTGCGCAATACTGTGCAATACTGTGCAATTGAAAATTTCTTGCTATTGCACAATACTTATTTTATAATAATTTACACATCCTGTTTGGTGTGTATCTCCTACCATATCGTTATTATTTGCTTTTAAATATAAAACAGAAATAACCAACTTAAAATGGAAAATTTTAAAAGAAAAAAAAAAGGAAAAAAAAAAAAATCTCCCCCCCCAAATTTTTTGAACCCCCTTATGATTCATCACCCCCAAACTCAATCCCAGCTTTCCCTTTGTGGTATGGTACCTTGCAGTACAATTTCAGAGAGATCCATACACTTGAACACAAGTTATTGTCTGGAAACTAGAAAAATGCTTATTTTTGGCCCCTTTTTGGCCCCTTATCCCTAAACGTTTTGGGCAATTACCCCCAAAATCAATCCCAGCATTCCCTGTGTGATATGGAACCTTGTGGTACAATTTCAGAGAGATCCATACACTTGAACACAAGTTTATAATTGTCTGGAAACTAGAAAAATGCTTATTTTTTGCCCCTTTTTGGCCCCTTATTCCTAAACGTTTTGGGCAATTACCCCCAAACTCAATTCCAGCTTTCCCTTTGTGATATGGAACCTTGTAGTACAATTTCAGAAAGATCCATACACTTACACACAAGTTATTGTCATGAAACTAAAAAAATGCTTGTTTTTTGCCCCTTTTTTGGCCCCTAATTCCTAATATTTTGAGGCAATTACCCCCAAAATTAATCCCAGCATTCCCTGTGTGATATGGAACCTTGTGGTACAATGTCAGAGAGATCCATACACTAACACACAAGTTATGTCTGGAAGTTACAAAAATGCTTATTTTTGGCCCCTTTTTGGCCCCTAATTCCTTAACTGTTGGTACCATAACCCCCAAAATCAATCCCAACCTTCCTTTTGTGGTATTGAACCTTATGGTAAAATTTCATAGAGATCCATTCACTTAAACTAAAGTTAGAGTGCGAAAACCAATGTGTCTTCGGACGACGCCGGACGACGCCAGACGACGACGACGACGACGACAACGACGACGACAACGTCATACCAATATACGACCAAAAAATTTTCAATTTTTGCGGTCGTATAAAAACTAAGTACTTCAACAAACGTATGTACACTTTTGGTATTTAGCTGAATTTTGTCTCCGAATGACCTTAGATCTGTCTCAGAATAACCTTCTGATGTCAAGCAACAATCACTTTTTAATTATGATGTCAAATTTTTTTAATTGTGATGTCAAATTTTACGGGAACTTGTGTGATTTTAAGTAATGGCAGACAAATTTGCATACAAGTGTAAATATGTCTATAAATAATGTATAAAAGCACCAATATACCTTAATAAAAGGCCACTTTTATTCATTTTTTTTAATTAATAAAAGACTACGTCTAGTTGCATTATACCACTACTACATGTGAGGAGGACAAGATGAACATTTGTGTAGTTAAATGATTGACCATGATTATCAGTTATTATGAGAACACGTGGACAGACAATGACAACGACCAAACTATACCATAATACTACTATACATTTTGACCGAATGACCTTAGATCTGTCTCAGAATAACCTTCTGATGTCAAGCAACAATCACTTTTTAATTATGATGTCAAATTTTTTTAATTGTGATGTCAAATTTTACGGGAACTTGTGTGATTTTAAGTAATGGCAGACAAATTTGCATACAAGTGTAAATACGTCTATAAATAATGTATAAAAGCACCAATATACCTTAATAAAAGGCCACTTTTATTCATTTTTTTTAATTAATAAAAGACTACGTCTAGTTGCATTATACCACTACTACATGTGAGGAGGACAAGATGAACATTTGTGTAGTTAAATGATTGACCATGATTATCAGTTATTATGAGAACACGTGGACAGACAATGACAACGACCAAACTATACCATAATACTACTATACATTTTGTGTAATTATATAAAATTATGAACACATTTTATTTACTCGAGTTGATTGACTCTCGTTGTATGCTGACCGTGCGAGGGCTTTATAGCCAGTCAAGGTCGTATAAACCCCCATCATCATCATCATTGACTCTCGGTGTATGCACATTGGTCCAACTGTTCATTGCTGCGATTAAGAAGTTCTTGGCACTTCAAATTTTTTTTTGGTTTCTTTCAACTTTTTTTGTTAGTCATTTTATTTTTAAAAAAAACAACATGGGGACTCCTGGGTTTGAACATCAGAGAGCAAAAAAGAGATACTTTTTTATACCTTCCATTTTTTTAAACCGTTTTATTAAAATTAAACCCATCAAAACATACCAAATTCTGTAATTAACCGTTTAATTCTAATTTTGTATTTACCATACTTAATTATACCTTTCTTCCTAGTCACTTCAATTTTACTTGGACAACACGTTTTTCTACAAATATGATAATGATAGTCTATACATACCAACATGAAGTTATGAAAAATTAATGTTGTAAGCAAAACTATTTACCCTGTGTATAAAACAGTTGTTTGTTTACATAACTTGTAATGACTTGAGCTTACGTAGTTCATGTAATATCTATAAAACTATGATTTAATTTTCTTTCAATTACCCAGTCCAATCTAAAAAGACTTTCTTTCCTAAAAATCTATGTAAAATACTTAAATCTAAAATCAAATTTAGATTTCATACTGTGTCAGTACACAACATCTTAAAACCAGTACATTTATAAAAAGAAAAGTAAAGCATTAAAAGTATGATATGTCATCATGTTCATACACAAGTAATGTGAAATTACTTTGTGTGTGAAACTGGAAATATTGCACACAAACTCTTGGTAAATATTGTATAGTGTATGTAACAATACAACTGGTTGTACAAATATATTAATTATTTCAATAATCATGAGTTAATTGTGACTATTTTATATAAAGTTCAAGATATAAAATAAAGGGTAATTGTACAATGATCGGTTAAAAATTACATTTTCAAAATATCTTTATCCAAAACTTGTACATTATCTCCTGTCTAGGAAGATATATTAACCACTTTTTAAAAAAAATCTATAAATAAAATGCTCTGCAGGGCGCAGCTTGATACGACCGCAGAGGTCGAACCCTGAACAGTTGGGGCAAGTATGGACACAACATTCAAGCTTGATACAGCTTTGCATTTGGATTGTGATTAAATATTTGACACAGCATAGGTTTCTGACACAGAATGAATGTGGTCTAAGAACTTAAAATTTTTAAATTGGACATTCACCTATTATGGTCCAATATCCAAAATCTAAATACATGGTTAGATTCAGCATATCAAAGAACCCAAAGAATTCAATTTTTGATGAAATCAAACAAAGTTTAATTTTGGACCCTTTTGACCTCAATGTGGACAAAGTTGATAACGAGGCCCAAAAATCAAAAATCTAAATACATGGTTAGATTCAGCATATCAAAGAACCCCATATATTCAATTTTTGTTGAAATCAAACAAAGTTTAATTTTGGACCCCGATTTGGACCAACTTGAAAACTGGGCCCATAATCAAAAATCTAAATACATGTTTAGATTCAGCATATCAAAGAACCCTTAAAATTCAATTTTTGTTAAAATCAAACTAAGTTTAATTTTGGACCCTTTGGACCTTAATGTAGACCAATTTGAAAACGGAACCAAAAATTATGAATCTAAATACACGGTTAGATTCGACATATCAAAGAACCCCAATAATTCAATTTTTGATGAAATCAAACAAAGTTTAATTTTGGACCCTTTGGACCTCAATGTGGACCAATTTAAAAACGGGGCCCAAAATCCAAAAACTTAATACACGGTATGATTTAGCATATTAAAAAACCCCAAGAATTCAAGAATAAAACCCCATTGAAATTGGTCAAGAAATAAGCAATTTATACGAAGTATCTTCTTTTGCAGAATACTGTGCAATTAAATATTTCTTGCTATTGCGCAATACTGTACAATTGACAATTTCTTGCTATTGCGCAATATTGTGCTATTGGATATTTCTTGCTATTGCGCAATACTGTGCAATTGAAGATTTCTTGCTATTGCGCAATACTGTGCAATTGAAGATTTCTTGCTATGGTGCAATACTGTGCAATTGAAAATTTCTTGCTATTGCACAATACTTATTATATAATAATTTACACATCCTGTTTGGTGTGTATCTCCTACCATATCATTATTATTTGCTTTTAAATATAAATCAGAAATAACCAACTTAAAATGGAAAATTTTAAAAGAAAAAAAAAAGGAAAAAAAAAAATCCCCCCCCCCCCAAATTTTTTGAACCCCCTTATGATTCATCACCCCCAAACTTAATCCCAGCCTTCCCTTTGTGGTATGGTACCTTGCAGTACAATTTCAGAGAGATCCATACACTTGAACACAAGTTATTGTCTGGAAACTAGAAAAATGTGTTTTTTGGCCCCTTTTTGGCCCCAAATTCCTAAACGTTTAGGGCAATTACCCCCAAACTCAAACCCAGCTTTCCATTTGTGATATGGAACCTTGTAGTACAATTTCAGAAAGATCCATACACTTACACACAAGTTATGGTCCTGAAACTAGAAAAATGCTTGTTTTTTGCCCCTTTTTCGGCCCCTAATTCCTAAAATTTTGAGGCAATTACCCCCAAAATCAATCCCAGCATTCCTTTTGTGATATGGAACTTTGTGGTACAATGTCAGAGAGATCCATACACTAACACACAAGTTATGTCTGGAAGTTACAAAAATGCTTATTTTTGGCCCCTTTTTGGCCCCTTATTCCTTTACTGTTGGTACCATAACCCCCAAAATCAATCCCAACCTTCCTTTTGTGGTATTGAACCTTGTGGTAAAATTTCAAAGAGATCCATTCACTTAAACTAAAGTTAGAGTGCGAAAACCAATGTGTCTTCAGACGACGCTGGACGACGCCAGACGACGACGACGACGACGACGACGACGCCAACGTCATACCAATATACGACCACAAAAATTTTTTTGGGGTCGTATAAAAATTGGAGTAAGACAGGTCATATAAAAACTTTTTATATTACCGATACCATTCTTACTCTTATTTGGTGAATTTTTATTTACTTATTCAAATGTGAGAAAATGAGATTCAAATTTTGTTTAAAAGATTTTATTCATTTGGTTTTATGAAGGAAATGCATTAACACTGTAATATCATATTCAAGTAATTTGATAACATTATCACACAATGATAACATGTGAAATACCATAAAAAAATTAAATGTCCTGTTATCTTCAGCCATGCACTTCTTATTTTTGTGTTCCAAAGCTGAAGTCATTTTGGCTAATTTAAAGTAATCAGTTTTGTTTTCAAAGGGGCCTCTTATAGGTTACTTTACAAAATGGTTTATGGCCCTTGATAAATGTCATATGATGATCTATATTTGTTCCCTTTCTAATCCTTTGGTTTTGGGTGCAAATAAATCATCTCATAAAAAAAATCATAACAATTAATTTAATTCACTTTTTGTTTATAATTGCCAAGATCTTTGCTTATGTTTAAATATATAATAATGAAAATATAACTATACAAATCTAACATGACAAAAATTTTGATCCTACAGCTACAGAAAACACACACTCACACATATATAGTAATGACCTAATAAGTTTCTATGTAATAAGTTACAACTATTAAAATGAGCAAATCTGAGATTGTTTGCAAATTTGAACACATATATTTTGAACAAAAACACCACAAAATGCTTGTATTACATGTAATTTATGTTTTTTCCCTATTTCATGATATATGTATACTGGCAACTGCAAATGTACAAGGACACCGAAATATCATCTCTGAATCACTTAGTTGTGACAGTGACCTTGAACTCTGACCTTAAAATCATATGCATTTCAAACACTTCTAAAAGTCAAGCAATAGAAAAATTTCATTGAAGGAAAGATGCAAGTTTAGACCTCCTTGGTGTACAGAATATTGTTACGGGTGAATAGACAGATGGTAACATTAATAAATTCCTTTGCAATTTGTTGCAAGGAGAAATTAACCAATCAATAGTCATCTACTCTTGTACTGTGTAATGAATATGGCACTGGTATGATTCACCAATTGATGACATTAAAAAAGAAATTTCACATTTATATATGAAATAAAAATACAAGATGGTCAGTTCATCATTCTGTGGCACTAGTGACCTTATCTCTGACCTTGTTCTTTCTGATTCATAACTAAAAAAAATTCAGTTCATCTTTTTAACTGTATAAATGATCATAAATGTACATGTACAAAATTCATTGACTTGTGTTAACTTTATGGTTTTAAATATCACACTGAACGTTTCAGTTGAATTTTCTAATTCCTTATTGTTGAAGTTTGATAAATAGAAATAATTTACAACTTATTAATAAGTATATTACGTTGTAGCTGCTAGTAAATAAAACCCTCTTAAATGAAAGATGATTGTTTGATACTGAGAAGGTACACTTTTTCACAAAATCATCATATGAAACTTATCATTTAATAACTGTCATTTATGATGATTGCCATTTAGAGTCAGTGACTTAAAACAACTACCAATTGATCATTTCTTTTGAAATAATTGTTAAAGCTAGCTGCACCATTACACAACCTTGGCCGTGAAAATAAACTTCACTTAAAATTGTACTGTAAAGTAGCAATAACATTAAATATATAATGACATTGACAATGACAATACTTTGTTGTTATGTAAAACAAATGCCTCAAAAAATACCTCAATATTTTTTTTAAATTTGTAACATTTCATGTATAAATATAAAATGCTAAAAACACTGACTCAGAGGTAGTTTAAACATTTCAGAGATCCTCAAGTGAACCAGTCATTGCCAGCGGAGATCCAAAATCATGATCAACATCGATGAAATCAACAGGAGTGATCAAATCTCTGTTACTGTATCCGTAGGGATTATCGTCTGAAGGAGGTCTTCTTAAATCAATTTGATCCTCAGCTAACCATGAAATGGGCTGATTTGCATGTAGACTTGCTGATCTTAACTGCTCTGTTTCTGCCTCATCTAAATGGAAATTGATGAAATATATTATCAAACAATGTCATTTCCCTTGATAACTCAAATATAAGTAAAAATCATCATTTCAGGCAATAACGTGATACATATTCATTATAATCCTAACGATCCTACTGATCCTACTGCCTGTCGATACTTTTATTTTGGCATTGCACAAGTCATGTCATCTTTGACTGTCCATGGCGTTAAAACACTAGATCCCTAGGATGTATTTTAATTGATTTTAGTCTCTGATGCATGATTTTTGTATTGTTAATTGTTTTTGGCTTTTCAGTAGTTTTCAGTAACTGCAAGTACTCTCAAATCATACTTTAGTGTTAATTTGACCTGTTGACAGAATTTTTAATGCATTTATGTAATTCAATGTTTACTTATTTTGTGCTAATGATCTCATCTCACTATTTTTAATATGAACCACCTTTGATAAGTATTTAGTATGACAATAAATTTTCACTTCTGTACTGGTACTCTGAACAACAAATTTATTTATTTTGTAGAAAATTGCTTACTTCCATACTCCTTACAACAAAATAATTATATTAAAATTTACATGTGTACGTTGTTTTATTTAACACCATTTTGTCCCAGGTTAGAGTTGTCTTTTTGACACTATTCCTACATTTTTTTTATTACTAATGTAACGTCTATGTTGTATAGGCACCTACATTTTAACATTGTATTTATATTGTGTCTTAGATCAAACTAGATTAGACCTTTGGTTTTCCTATTTGAATTGTTTTACACTAGTCATTATTTTAGGGGCCCTTTATAGCTTGCTGATCGGTGTGAGCCACGGCTCTGTGTTAAAGGCCTAATTTGACCTATAATTGTTAACTTTTTATACATTGTGACTTGGATGGAGAGTTGTTTCATTGGCACTCATACCACATCTTCTTATTTTTAATAACTACTATACGGTTTCGGTCATATTGGCATTTTGTAGATCTTGTATTGGTGATCATTTTTACTGTTTTTATTTTCTACCTATCTAATAAAGTTTTTGAGATAAATAGATAACTAAAAAATAAATTAAAATAGTCATTATGAGGCAATTAGTTTTAAAAACTACAGAAGAAGTCTTTTAATGTTTCATTCCTATGTACAGCATTTCTATCTAAACCACTTCACTTGGACTGCCTAAAATTTAATTGTTGAATGGAATGCATTGCATACGAAAAGGAAAGGAATTTTGGTTTGAAATAAGAGAAAATTTGCATTTCAGAAACTAACCAGAAACTAAATGTAAATGTAGTAGTGATGTAGTTTATTTTTTATGTATTAGAGAGGGTTAATATTCTATTCTATTTATTTTCAAACACTATCTGGTATGGAGTATAGTTATTTAATCATTAATTTTTAATGTAATATATCTTATTATTATACCTCAATATGTTTTTTCTATATAAAAAAGAATGAAATATTTGTACTATTTCATTACACAGACTAATTGCCAGTCAATAGTTTCAAAGACTATTACCCCGGTCAATAGTTTTATAAACATTTTTCCCGTACTTTATCATACTAATTTTTCATTGGACAACACTGACGTCATCGACTATTCTGCTTGGATTTGTTCGCTTGGCAACATTTAATTCTGACGTTATTTCGTATACGGTATTATCTGTATGTATCTGTCTTAATTTCAAACTAATATATTACTTACCAGAAGCAATTGAAAAAGATAATTTACGCGACATAGTTCAAGAACTAAATTAAACATAACAAATGTATGGTATTGGTTTGTCGTCATCATCATAATCTGGGATTGCTTTGGTGTACTGTAAAATATTTAAGCTAGTGTTTATCATATGCACGGGAATTTTTACACAAGGATTCCTGGTCTTGATTACAGTAAATAAAATATTGACAAATACCACACAGAAAAAACCTGATAGTTCATCTTGTGCATGTCTATGTGATCACTTTTTTTTTAAAGTGGTGTATGTAGTCTTTTTAGAAAGTTGTTTTGTTCAGTATAATAAAACACTTAATGACTGGTTATGAGGGTAATAGCAAGTTTGTTGTCCCTTTGATACTAACTATTGTCCTCGGCTTCGCCTCGAGCAATAGTTGGTATCTTAGGGACAACAAACTTACTATTAACCTCATACCCAGTCAATAGGTGTATAATAAAATGCTCCGCTGGGGCGCAGCTTGATACGACCGCAGAGGTCGAACCCTGAACAGTTGGGGCAAGTATGGACACAACATTCAAGCTTGATACAGCACTGAATTTGGATTGTAATTAAATATTTGACACAGCATAGGTTTCTGACACAGAATGTATGTGGTCTAAAACTTAAAAATTTTTAATTTACCTATTCAAACCATATCATTATTATTTGCTTTTACAATAAATCAGAAATAACCAATTTAAAATGGAAAATTTTAAAGAAAAAAAAGGGAAAAAAAAATCCCCCCCCCCCAAATTTTTTGAACCCCCTTATGATTCATCACCCCCAAACTCAATCCCAGCCTTCCCTTTGTGATATGGTACCTTGCAGTACAATTTCAGAGAGATCCATACACTTGAACACAAGTTATTGTCTGGAAACTAGAAAAATGCTTGTTTTTTGGCCCCTTTTTGGCCCCAAATTCCTAAACGTTTATGGCAATTACCCCCAAACTCAAACCCAGCTTTCCCTTTGTGATATGGAACCTTGTAGTACAATTTCATAAAGATCAATACACTTACGCACAAGTTATTGTTCTGAAACTAGAAAAATGCTTTTTTTTTTGCCCCTTTATGGCCCCTAATTCCTAAAATTTTGAGGCAATTACCCCCAGAATCAATCCCAGCCTTCCCTTTGTGGTAAGGTACCTTGCAGTACAATTTCAGAGAGATCCATACACTCGAACACAAGTTATTGTCTGGAAACTAGAAAAATACTTGTTTTTTGGCCCCTTTTTGGCCCCAAATTCCTAAACGTTTAGGGCAATTACCCCCAAACTAAAACCCAGCTTTCCCTTTGTGATATGGAACCTTGTAGTACAATTTCATAAAGATCCATACACTTACACACAAGTTATTGTCCTGAAACTAGAAAAATGCTTTTTTTTTTGCCCCTTTATGGCCCCTAATTCCTAAACGTTTAGGGCAATTACCCCCAAACTCAAACCCAGCTTTCCCTTTGTGATATGGAACCTTGTAGTACAATTTCATAAAGATCCATACACTTACACACAAGTTATTGTCCTGAAACTAGAAAAATGCTTGTTTTTTTGCCCCTTTATGGCCCCTAATTCCTAAAATTTTAAGGCAATTAACCCCAAAATCTATCCCCGCCTTCCCTTTGTGGTATGGTACCTTGCAGTACAATTTCAGAGAGATCCATACACTTGAACACAAGTTATTGTCTGGAAACTAGAAAAATGCTTATTTTTGGCCCCTTTTTGGCCCCTTATTCCTAAACATTTTGGGCAATTACCCCCAAACTCAATTCCAGCTTCCCCTTTGTGATATGGAACCTTGTAGTACAATTTCATAAAGATCCATACACTTAAACACAAGTTATTGTCTGGAAACTAGAAAACTGCTTGTTTTTTGCCCCTTTTTGGCCGGTAATTCCTAAAATTTGGAGGCAATTACCCCCAAAATCAATCCCAGCATTCCCTTTGTGATATTGAACCTTGTGGTACAATGTCGGAGAGATCCATACACTTACACACAAGTTATTGTCATAAAACTAGAAAAATGCTTGTTTTTTGCCCCTTTTGGCCCCTAATTCCTAAAATTTGGAGACAATTACCCCCAAAATCAATCCCAGCATTCCCTTTGTGATATGGAACCATGTGGTACAATGTCAGAGAGATCCATACACTAACACACAAGTTATGTCTGGAAGTTACAAAAATGCTTATTTTTGGCCCCTTTTTGGCCCCTAATTCCTTAACTGTTGGTACCATAACCCCCAAAATCAATCCCCACCTTCCTTTTGTGGTATTGAACCTTATGGTAAAATTTCAAAGAGATCCATTGACTCAAACTAAAGTTAGAGTGCGAAAAACCAATGTGTCTTCGGACGCAGGACGACGCCAACGTCATACCAATATACGACCGCAAAATATTTTTGCGGTCGTATAAAAATTACTGTATAAGTAATACTATATGTATATGTATATGCTTGGAAACAGGCCCTTTAATTGGATTCAATAAATATTCTTATTCTTATCCATTAACGTTTTTAAGATAATTGGCAAAAACTATCACAAATAGTCATTGAAGGGCAGTAAAACACATCCTCCTGCACTAGAGGTTTGCTACAAGACCTTAAAATTAAAATAATATGAATACAGTAACTCAAACAATAACTATATATAAAATCTGAACCTCAAATTCCACCCCACAAAATATCAGCAACTATACTAACCATAAATGCACTTTACTATAGGCAGTACTTTAGCAATTTTTTGTTCATTTGCTTGCTTCTCGAGTGTTTTGTACTCAGCTGTTTGTTCTTTGAGCACTGTTTGTACTTCTCCATGTTGCAACAAAGAATGATGTTCTGTCTGTCTATGAACATTTTCTTCCTCAGTTTCAATCTGTACAACAGCAGGACTGTCAGGTGTCTCTGGAAGAACTTGCTCACTAGAAAAAGGTGTCATGCCAACTCCAGAGTCTGAATGTTTGTCATTTTCATCTCGTCTTTCTTTACTTTTACCTGCAGAAAAAATAATGTTACATTGTTTTACTTTAAAATATACTCAAAACATGAAAAAAAAATGTAAAGTTTAAGGGAGAAGGTAAGTGAAGTATGTTTTGAAACATGTTACACATAGCAATCTCTTACAAGTATAATTAGCTGGGTACCAAATAGCAAGAACCTCCGATTGGTAGTTGCTGCGAAAAATAAGATATTTTTTTTATATGTTCATTAACAAACATAGATGTATATGTAATCCACCTAACAGAAGTTCAACTGGAAACTTTGTTATAAACAATGCCATAATATCTGTTCCTGTTGGAACAATAAAATTTACGAAAAACAGATATGACATATCTAACAATAAAAAAATTGGACCAAAGATCATGAAGCTCTAATTAATAGTTGCTGAAAAAATGATCTGAAAATATACCTTACTCATAAAGTTTGGTACTTAAGGATGTTCGCTACTCTGTTTCAAAATAACAAGCTTTTTAAAAGACTGTTATAAATTGAAAGTATATAAATGAAGGTACTGAAAAAGCAGAAAAAATGAAAGGTCCGTGTGCTTGTTTTCAAGATATAAGCCATTGAAAATTTGGCAGGAAATGATTCTCTGTAGATTTTTCATACATTTAACATTGGCACAAAAACAATGAAAAAATAACAAGGATTTTATAAGATTTTCAAATATGGCTTTTTAAACTACATGTAATAAAATTATGAAAAGAAAAGTAGGGGTTAGCAAGCAAAATTTTTAATGGCACTACATGGATAAAACCAGAGGATTCTGAATATCTGGCAAAAAATCAAAAACAAGAGGAGCGAACGTCCTTAATATCAAGCATCTCTGATTAGTTACTGAGAAAAATTTGACAAATAAATGTGAAGAACATAATGCCATTTATGTAGTGAAAATGAAGTTACATGATATGGCTTACAGATGGACCAACAGACAGAGGGAACCAGTACACCTCCTTCCTTTGGAGCAGAGGTATAAACTTTGTATCTTTGGTTTTGTTTTAATATATCAAATAATTTTTGTTTAACTTTTCTACATTAAAAAAAAATTTAATGACCAAAGATACACAATTAAGATAAAATGCTGATGATTATACATATACAAATATGCTTACAGATGCATTTCAACTCTTAAAATTTAAGATTTAAATGGTTGAAGTACTGCAGGTAATTTGAGTTCCTCCACAATTTGATTTGAGGATAATATCCTTAAATCAAATTGTGGACGTCCTGAAATTGAATTATGGAGGTCCTGAAATTGAACTTAATGGATGTCCTGAAATTGAGCTATGGAGGTCCTGAAATATATCAAGAGCTCCAAATATACTATAATTTTGAATAAATCAGCCCCTCGTACATGTTCTAACCAATATTTTGTATATCAGGATAGTTTAGTAAAACAGTAACTAACAAATATAAACCATGTTAAACCATTTTATAACTATATTCTAATTTAAAAAAACAAGGTTGCAACTCTTTATACACTCAGCAAAAATATAAATAGTATGCCTATCCACAAAGATTTTGCACAAATCATGTTAAATAAAATAAATCTACAAATACACTAATTACCTTTTCTAGATTTAGTACTACATCTACATACAATACACACTATAACAACAACCACACCAATAAACCCAAAGACAAGAACTAGTGTAATTACTATCCAACTGAAAAGACAAACAGATCATTCATATTTAATAATCATGCAGTTAGTGATAATAAACTGCACTATGTTCTGTGGATTAAGTTATTTTTTGTGGGATACCAATTTTCGTGGATTCCAGGAGGTAAAGGTGAACCATTAATTTAAATGTTCAAATTTTCTATAGGTTTGCATGCAGACTCTGGCAAATCCATAAAATCAAACATCCATGTAAATACATTGTTCCTCAATCCACTAAATAAATTGCTTCGACGAGCGCAGCTGGATACGACTGCATAGGTCCAACCCTGAACAGTTGGGGCAAAAATGGACACAATATTCGCGCTTGATACAGGTCTGAATTAGGATTGTAATTAAATATTTGACACATACATGTTATAGGTTTCTGACACTGAATAACTGTAGTCAAAGAACTTAGAATTGGTTATATGATTTATATTCAATTTTTTGCTTTTGTGCAATACACTATGCTGTTGCAAATTGACACCCCCCCCCCAAAAAAAATTAAAAAATTACCCCCCCTTTTTTTTGCTTTTGTGAAATATACTATGCTGTTGCATATTGACCCACCCCCCAAAAAAAAATTTTTTTTACCCCCCCCCCCCCCCCTTTTCCTTCCCCCCTCCGTCCCATTTTTGCAAAAAAAAAAAAAAAATTGAAGAAATTTTCTTTTTAATTTCTAAAATCTGAAATGAAAAAAAAATTGCCCCCCACAATTTTCCATTAAAAAAAATTCTTTCCCTCAAGATATGGTAAAATTTCCAATGGAGTTTGCAACCATAATTACCAATTTAAATACATCATACAAGTCTTAAATAGATAATTTAAAAGCAGTGTAAGGGGGGTAATCCAACATTGTACAACATTGTACAATTTTGTTTTTGGATTACCTCCCTTACACTGCTTTTAAATTGTCCATTAACCAGGAAACCCTTGTTTTTCCCCTTTTTTGCCCCTTATTCCTAAACTTTTTGAGCCATAACCCCCCAAAGCCAATCCTAACCATCCCTTTGTGGTATGGAAACTTGTGGTATAATTTCAGAGAGATCCACACACTTAAACACAAGTTATTGTCTGGAAGTTACAAAAATGCTTATTTTTGGCCCCTTTTTAGCCCTTAATTCCTTAACTGTTTGTACCATAACCCCTAAAATCAATCCCAACCTTCCTTTTGTGGTATTGAACCTTATGGTAAAATTTCATAGAGATCCATTCACCTAAACTAAAGATATTGTGCGAAAACCAATGTGTCTTTGGACGACGACGACGACGACAACGCCAACGTCATACCAATATACGACCGCAAAAATTTTTTAAACAGACATATATTTTTGTTTGGCCTAATAGAAGTTCCACTGGAAACAAATTGTTATAAACAATGCCATAATATCTGTTCATGTTGGAACACATATTCTATACCCTAATTCTGTAAGGAAAAAACAGAGTAATATTTGTTCCAGTGGAAATAATTTTACAGAATATTTCTTCCACTTGGAACTTATATCATGAAGCAACTTCTATTTCATGACACCTCTCTACATGTATGAAAGTCATTTTAAATTCCAAATCATCTAGTATGTGTCTCGGAGTAAACATATTTGAACAACCCACACAGCATATTTAAATAAACTCTTGTCTGTAAGAGCTGTTGTACATGCAGTTTTTTTTTTAGTTTTTTAAGAAGTTTCACAACACTGTCAACAACTATCTGGGAATGTGGAATTATGTAAGAATTAACACAACACAGATCAACTGAGAATGTAAGAATTGATTAACTTGATTTGGACACATGCATTAACAACAAATTGTACACAAAGGGAAAATATTACTTCAATGCAGTGTTCAAACTACTGTATAACAAACCTTTGTGAACTTGACTTTGACTTTTTCTTTGTCTTTCATAATCCCCTGTAAAATATAATATTCCTACATATAACTTGTATGGTACTTCACATTTAAAACAAATATCAATTGATCATAGACAATAAGGCCTGATTTTGACTGCAGATTGTCAAAAATTTTATTTTACAATCTGTTTAATTTTCATACCAATCAAGCAATGGAAACACGTTATATTCTGGAAACCCTTTGTTTTGGACTCACTGAGAGACAGAAAGAAAGACGGACAGACAAGGCAGTTACTATATGCTCCAGAAACTTTTTACGGGAGAATAAAAAGGTGAAATCAGTCAACCAGAAACAAGACATTTTTGGTTTTGGCATCCCCCGTTTTTTTTGGTGTGGTCCTCGTTTCTCAAGCATTAGGTTTTTGTGGACTGTTGCTGCCTTTTCATCATTTTTCTTTTTGACTTAACTAATTGTTTTTGAACTCCCCTTTTGATATCATATCTCTTTTTCTATAAGTTAGCCATCTGCTGTTGTAAAACCTTGTCTTATCCAACATTTGCTTACAAATAAAAATCATCAAAATCATTTAAGACTGAAGTCTATACAGTTGGACAGAAAAACATACCATTGGTCGTATTTATGTCTGGTATTGGAATATTAACTACATCACTTTTAGGTCTCAGATCATTAACTTTGTTTGCTTCTCTGAAAATAAGATCAAGATTCATGTACATATGTAAAACTGATTTTTGCAAATAAAAAAAAAAGATTTAAAATTGTAGCCATTAATTGATTCAAGTCCTAAATAAATTGCACTACCAGTATCAATTTTTTTAATCAATAAAGTTACTATGCAACATCTTGATATACCATCAACAGCAAAAATACTAACAATCAAAATTTAACCTCAGCAGACTTTTCCTTAACTGATGAGATGGAACAGTAAATCTGAATTAACAAGGAGTCTAATGTTGAAATTTGAATTGTCCAAAGGATCAAATATTTATTATTCAGTAAACTAAAAGATATTCCATGTATTTTTTTATAACAGCTAGAGCACTTTTCTATACATCTGCATTCAGCTGATTTTCATGCATAAAGTTTGTGAAAACCCAGCAAAAAATGCCAAACCACTTACCTTTCAGGCAAACATTTTCCATTCAAGGCAAGTTTTTCAAATGGAGGACATTTTCCTTGGTACACATTACAGTTACAGGCATCATACCCATAATAATATCTGTCTGTATCACAAATGCATGGCTTACGACAACCCCCATGACCTTCAGATAAATAATTTACTCTTCTTGACTCTGAAAATCACAAATTAATAGCAATGTATATTTCACGAAATAGATTCATTATGGATATCGGACATCTGAGGATTGAAATAGATAAGTATTTTCTAATTTGGGTTTTGGATTTTCAATATTTTGGCCTCGATCATCACTGAAGAGACATTAATTGTCGAAATGCCAATCTAGTTCAATAAAATTGGTAGAGTTTATCTTATTGAAATAATTAACAGTTATTTCTATTCTAACTGACCCTAATTCCACTGCATGATTGTAAAGTTAATTGAATTTTTAAATAAACAGAAAATGAAGGTGTGTTTGTACACAGAATATCCTTACTGGTAAACAGTAGATTTTATGCAACCCTCAAAATATATTACTAGTATAGGACACTGTCAAATCAAAATTGTCATTACAAAAGAATTACATGATACTGTAAACAAACTAATTTTCGCAAGTGATTTCGAGCTATTTATTATGGCGACTTTTGCAGGAAGAAAAATAACATGAATAAAAATTGTCATGAAAATTTAAAACCTAGATCTTTCCTTGTCTAACTACCTCAAGTAAATTTGAAAAGCACGAAATTAAATTGCCACGAATTGGGATATAAAAGTCTTAACGTGAAATAAAGTATTCGCGAAAATAAGTTGGTTTACTGTGCAGCCGAGTATATAGAATGTTGTTTAGAAAATTAATAATAAAATGCTTCGCTGGGCGCAGCTTGATATACGACCGCAGAGGTCGAACCCTGAACAGTTGGGGCAAGTATGGACACAACATTCAAGCTTGATACAGCTCTGAATTTGGATTGTGATTAAATATTTGACACAGCATAGGTTTCTGACACAGAAAGAATGTGGTCTAAGAACTTCAATTTTTTTAATTTACCTATTATGGTCCAATGTCCAAAATCAAAATACATGGTTAGATTCAGCATATCAAAGAACCCCATATATTCAATTTTTGTTGAAATCAAACAAAGTTTAATTTTGGACCCCAACTTGGACAAACTTGAAAACTGGTCCCATAATCAAAAATCTAAACACATGTTTAGATTCAGCATATCAAAGTACCCCAAGAATTCAATTTTTGTTAAAATCAAACTAAGTTTAATTTTGGACCCTTTGGACCTTAATGTAGACCAATTTAAAAATGGGACCCAAAATTAAAAATCTAAAAACACGGTTAGATTTGGCATATCAAAGAACCCCAATAATTCAATTTTTGATGAAATCAAACAAAGTTTAATTTTGGACCCTTTTGACCACAATATGAACCAATTTGATAGCGAGCCCACAAATAAAAAATCTAAATACATGGTAAGATTCAGCATATCAAAGAACCCCATATATTCAATTTTTGTTGAAATCAAACAAAGTTTAATTCTGGACCCCAATTTGGACCAACTTGAAAACTGGGCCAAAAATCTAAAATCTAAATACATGTTTAGATTCAGCATATCAAAGAACCCCATATATTTCAATTTTTGTTGAAATCAAACAAAGTTTAATTTTGGACCCCAACTTGGACCAACTTGAAAACTGGGCCCATTATCAAAAATCTAAACACATGTTTAGATTCAGCATATCAAAGAACCCCAAGAATTCAATTTTTGTTAAAATCAAACTAAGTTTAATTTTGGACCCTTTTGACCTCAATGTGGACAAAGTTGATAACGGGGCCCAAAAATCAAAAATCTGAATACATGGTTAGATTCAGCATATCAAAGAACCCCATATATTCAATTTTTGTTGAAATCAAACAAAGTTTAATTTTGGACCCTTTGACCTCAATATGAACCAATTTGATAGCGGGGTCCACAAATAAAAAATCTAAATACATGGTTAGATTCAGCATATCAAAGAACCCCATATACACAACAGCCCGTGTGGATTTTGCTTTTTCCACCGGCCCACCGTGGGCAGTCCACCCGTGCCCACTCTAGCTATAATCTCTTTTTTGTAAAAATATTGATTACAAATGCTTATCTGCTTTTTTCAAGTGATTGTACTTGCAAGTCTTTAGATGAAACAAAAGAGATTGAATGCCCACTCCTACAGGTGGGCAGAGTGGACAAGGTACAAATTTTGCCCACCTGGTGCCCACTCCCATGGTGGGCCGGTGGACAAAGCAAAATCCACCCGAGCTGTAGTGTATTCAATTTTTGTTGAAATCAAACAAAGTTTAATTTTGGACCCCAATTTGGACCAACTTGAAAACTGGGACAAAAATCAAAAATCTAAATACATGTTTAGATTCAGCATATCAAAGAACCCCATATATTCAATTTTTGTTAAAATCAAACAAAGTTTAATTTTGGACCCTTTGGACCTTAATGTAGACCAATTTGAAAACTGGACCCAAAATTAAAAATCTAAATACGCAGTTAGAATCGGCATAACAAATAAATAAATGTGGTCAAAGATTTTACAAATCTAATGCGCCATACTGTCCAATTAAAGATTACTTCTTGAAATTTTTCAATATTTGAAATTTGAAAAAAAAATAATATTTGAAGAATAATTCTTTTTAATTTCTGAAATCTGAAATGAGAAAAAATTGACCCCCCACAATTTCTTTAAACCCCCCCCCCCCTTTTTTTTCCCCCAAAAAATTCTTTCCCTCAAGATATGGTCATAATCTCAATTCAAATTTCCAATGGAGTTTGCAACCATAATTACCCATTTAAATTTACCATAGTGCTAACTTAATCTAATTTATAATAGAATTTAAAATATAGTGTCAAATCTTTCATATGGATTTTGTTGTAAAAAAAAAAGATGCAACATTTGCAGATATTTTTACTGGTCTTCCTTTATAAATATGCATTTCTTTAAACATAATTTAAAAGCAGTGTAAGGGAAGTAACCAAAATGTTGTATTTGGATTACCTCCCTTACACTGTTTTAAATTATCTTAATTGTTCATTAACCATTACTTTATACATAATTTAAAAGCAGTGTAAGGGAGATAATTTCAATGATGTATTTGATTTATCTCCCTTACACTGCTTTAAATTATGTTTTGTACTAAAGTATTTGTCCATTAACCAGGACAACCTTGTTTTTCCCCCTTTTTTGCCCCCAATTCTTAAACGGTTTGAGCCATAACCCCCCAAATAAAATCCTAACCATCCCTTTGTGGTATGGAAACTTGTAGTATAATTTCAGAGAGATCCATACACCGTTCCACAGTTATTGTCTGGAAACTAGAAAATGCTTATTTTTGGCCCCTTTTTGGCCCCTAATTCCTTAACTGTTGGTACCGTAACCCCCAAAATCAATCCCCACCTTCCTTTTGTGGTATTGAACCTTATGGTAAAATTTCATAGAGATCCATTCACTTAAACTAAAGTTAGAGTGCGAAAACTAATGCGTCTTCGGACGACGACGATGCCGGAAGACGACAACGACGACGCCAACGTCATACCAATATACGACCACAAAAATTTTTTTGCGGTCGTATAAAAAGGTGTCTATTATGGATTTGATTATTTTCGTAGATACCAATTTTCGTGGATGGAAGAAAAAATATATTTTTCGTGGATATTAATTAATTTTCGTGGTTTTTCCAAGGTCTACAGAAAACGTGTGCTTTGTTGAACCTCTAAATTCATGGTTCACCTATACCCACAAAATCCATGAAAATTTGTATCCTGGAACGATTAAAATGATGAGACATGGTCACATCTGAAAAGTAATCATCATTGATTCATCGTTGATTACTTCAAGCTTAACCTTACCAGACGGACAAGAATAGGATTCACACTTATAAACATAATCAGAGTTTGTTTCATCAGCCAACCATTGATCTGCTGGGCAAGGTCGACATATGTCATGTTCTAAATGATCAGTGCATGTTTCAACGAAAAATCCTGAAAAATAATAAATACAAACTAAATATGTCAAGATCTTATCATGTTGTATAATTATCATGAATATGCATGAAATTATTGACACTGGCTGTTAAGCAAGCATCAATCAATAAATCAATATATTTGCCATGTAGGGCCTTACATGAATGAAGGTAGTTCAACTGGAATAAAGTTAAGTTAATATGCCAGTAAATCTCCTACTGTATTGATATCCAATCATAACAAATACACAAAAGTATTCCAATTGTTTCCCCGAACTTCACCTGCATATGGGATATACATTTTCCAACTCATTTGGTATTCAAGAGCTTACAGCTGCTACTCAGACTTTATAAAACATCACCAGTGTCTAAGCATAAAGTTGATTAACCAGGGTTATATCAAAGAACACCTAGTCCTTGGAGTTTGGTATTTTTGTTATTTTACTTTTTTCTTCAGTCAGATATAAATTGTGACAAAAATAATTAAATACCACCACAAAATTCTGCATATGCATCAAAACTTCCGACAAAAAACTAACTTTAATAACTTAAATTACACATCCTGTACATGCACACGCACAATAATGACTCATCTGTTGGATGCATTCATGATAAAAATATTTGCATATTTGGTCATGTGATCCTATGTGAAACTTAAAGAGTTTGACATATTGGGTAGACACCATTGTAGAAGACTGTATGTTGACTTTTAGATGTCATTTTGCTTTTTTTTTGTGTCTATAGTTTTCTCATAAATGTATGGTTACACTTGTTTCATTTCCTTTTACTCATATTTAGGATCTTTTTCAAATTTTTTTATGTTTTCATTGACAGCTAGCTGCCACATTCAAAGGAGGATCATGAACATAAAATTCACTTATTAGTTGCCTGTTACTGGCATCAACAACATATATATTTTAGAAAGTTGTGATTAACTATTGAGTTTAGAGGGTAGGAATGCCCTTTACCGTCAGGCGTCAAACGGTCATTTTTGGCTACCGCTAGCGTCAAATTGGTTAATATTTTACCGTGATTCATCAAAATATCCTTATCGTGATTCGTCAGAGGTCTCATATAATTATCATTACCATTATTTTTGGAAAAAATTTAACGTGATTCGTCAAAATCAGTTGATTTTTTTATTGTCTAAAAGAAAGTGGTAATTTTAATGTCATGTACCAAAAATTACTGTTAATGTCATTTGGCAAGAATTTTTACCGTTATTCATCATGAAGGTACCCCAATTACGACCCTCAGTTAAAGGTAAATGAAAAAACTGAAGTTAGAGACGGAAACGAAAAATTCAGCAATTTTTCCATTTGTAAAGGGGCATAACTCTAGAACAGTAAAAGTGACGCCACCAAAATTCAAACTTGATCTGTGTTTTGTGATAATAAACATTGTGTATAAGTTTCAAAACATTTGGTTTAGGCAAACTAAAGTTGGAGAAAGGAAACGAAAAATTCAGCAATTTTTCCATCTGTAAAGGGGCATAACTCTAGAACGGTAAAAGTGACGCCAACAAAATTCAAACTTGATTTGTTTTTTTGTGGTAATAAGCATTGTGTATAAGTTTCATAACATTTGGTTGAGGCAAACTAAAGTTAGAGAACAGAAACCAATTTTGGTACGTATGTATGGACGGACGTAGGTACAGACGGACAAGGGTAAGCCCCCTCCGCTACGGCGGGGGCATAAATATTCTTGTGATTACATTATATTACCTTCACTACAATTTTTGGCAAGTTTTTTGCAGCAAAAACCCTTTCTGTCAACAACACCAATCCATTTGTGTCTCTTTATATAATTTTCTGGACACTTTTCAAAGCCCAGTACATAATGGGTCAATAGTAAGATGATGAAAACTTGCACCTGCATATATGTAGAATGTTTCAAGCCTCAGGATCTGTTATTGTTAAAGACATTTAATCAAATGAAGCACATTGATATGAGTTGCAATTAAAATACAAATTCATGCAACAAGATATATGTATGATTTAGTGACTGTGTTGTAACTATGTTTTTTTTTTCTGAAGCATACCTTTAGAAGAAATACACCATTGTAAAAATTCAAGACATATTTCCCTTTGGTAAAAAGTACATGCATTTTACTCATATCATGGTCTAGGAATATAGTTCCCAAGTATTATATGGGGTATTTCTTCCTGAATTTTCTTGACACTGTTTTCTTTGAAAAGTTTATTATATTGATCCTATAACATGTATAAGTTGCATATATATTGAAATAAGTAAAACATGTGGGAAAAAATTATTGGTGAAAGTGAAAGTAGTAATTTGGCCAAAACGAAAATACTAATTTGGCCAAAGAGAAAGTAGTAATTTGGCCAAAGTGAAAGTATGATAGAAATTAGGATTCAGCATTTATTCAAACTCAATTCCTAATAATAATTATGGTCTACGAGCAGTAGAATTTATTTCATGTTTGAACCTGTGATATTTTTTTAAATTCAATTTAACTTTTATCAAGAAGGGCATTGTGACCATGTCCATGGTAAAAGTAATTATGGTCTGATGCCTTTCGTATATTGATTGTTGACGACAAGGTGAGCTTAAAAAATAAATGACATTCAAATGATGCTTAATTCTTAATTTTATCATATTCAAATCCAATGTTCCAACACGATGACCAACGCACGGTGGTCTTTCTTTTACAATTGGTCCAAAAGAGGACAATTTCGTGTGGTTAAAAATAGTTTGGAAGAATTCCGAATTTCTATTTTTAGAGTTACAGATCACTCAGTATTTTAGAGTTACGTCAGTGTTAAAATGATATGGTATGTCCCAAAACATAAAAATTGGGGTTTTCTATTGGCGTCTTACTAGTCAGCCTTTTCTAAACAAAACAAAAATCAGCCCTGTCCTTTACATATAACAACTAACCGGTGCTCGTAGAAACTTATAAAACATGCTCGTGGTGAAAGTTTTTGAATCATATATAAACGACATTTGAAGTTATAAATTAATGCAGCTAATGAGCTATATAAAAAAAAATATTTCATTAGGTTAAGCAATTTTCTACTTTTAAATGCAGTAATGATATAAAAATCCTTTAAAGTTGTACTTACTATCTACCGGCCTGCATAATATTTTCATCAACACAGTTCACAGTCACTCGTCAAAACTTCGGCTGATTCCGTATCTCCGTTCATATATTATTAAAGCAGCTTTAATAGAAGAAGGACACCGGATTAATCCGATGTTTGCCGATTGTGCTCACTGACACACCCTTGTGTTGGAATGTGGGGAAACTTTATTTCTATTTATAGCTCATTCTTTGGCTTTAGGTAAATTCCCTTCTACATGGAAACAAAGAGTTGACCCTCAACGGAATTGTACTGAAGAATAGTAAAAACGACCGAAGCACATTTTGTATGAAGCGCTTCGGTCTATAAAATTATAAAAAGAGGCATTCAATTCTTAAAATATACATTTTCCATGAAATTCAGAGTTATATCAAGCTTTTCGTTTGTTTTTCTATGCATTATTTTTACATTGTCACGGAAAGTACGTGCAGTCATAGCTGTATTATATACGGAAATACAATTTAATATTGAAGTGCCTCACGATTGTTGTCAACATTCAAAATTACTCATACGGATTCGAATGAAACATGCATGTTGTTATTTGTGATCTATTACAATTCACAATGTTTATATACTGTTACTTTTATTGACTCCGCTCACAGGGAGGCAGTACCTTAGGTGATAATGATTTCATGGTTCACCTAGCAAGCAAGCTAACCAAGGATACTACATTTACCTACACACTCAAGTCCATGAACTGTAACAGTGTAAAGAAGTCTTCAATTTCAAAAAAAACATTCAAAACGATTCCTCAAAGTATTTTAAACTAATAATCAAAAATAAAAGTAGAAATAGGTAAACATAATCACCGTATCCACAGAAACACTTTTTAATTTATTTAATATTTTGTATTATTTTTTTTTCGCTTTCAATGATTATGTGTAATGGTAACTTTTTACAAATTTTTTACAAATATCTTTAGGTATAGATCATTGGGTTTTGATATCTTCGTGAGCGTTCATTCAACATTCACCTTAAAGGGGCACTAGCTGTCAAATTCATGTTCACCGATTTGACTCAAATTCTCATATTTGATTTATAACAATGTAAAACATTTATCCAAATTATAAAAAGTCTAAAATAAACAATATACCGGACATGGACTCGATAATATGTAGCTTCGTTTCGTGTGTATTTTAGTGTAGACGCCATCTAATTAACTGTCGAGTTGACCCCCGAAGACCTCCGATTGCCATATAAGCGATATAAACATAAATATAGATATAAATAGATATCAGACTCGTGCATTTATATTTTTCTATGTCTGTTTAATTTCATATTATAGATTAAAAATATTTATTATACTTCACGTAAAAATGCAATATTTTGATTGGCTTATACGAGGGTGTTAATTTACTCTATTACCCTTCATGGAGACGCTTGATCAAGTGTGCGCTTTATTAATCACGACTCTATCCTATGGCAAATACTCTATTACCCTTCACGGAGACGCTTGATCAAGTATGCGCTTTATTAAATACGGATGCTTGTTATGTACAAGGCGTCATAGTTTATTACTTTGAATTTGAAATTTAATCGACAGTAATAACACAACATTCAGTATAATAAATTAAATAACACATATCTGAGAGGGTGATAGAGCAGATTGTTACCCCTCGAAAAGACATTGTCAACCTTGGCTTCGCCTCAGTTGACAATGTTTTCTCGGGGTAACAATCTGCTCTATCACCCTCTCAGCTATGTGTTATTTATGTAATGTTAATCATCGTTTTTGCCTCTATCAGAATGATTTTTTGTGGATCGAATCAGTCAATCAAATGATTTACCTTTGTTTCACTTTCAATGTTGACATTCTTTTCCTTTAAATAATTGAACACGCACAATGCATGCGGTATCCATCTCTAGCTAAGGGGTTAAATTGAAGTTCACATGAATACGGATTCAATGAGGTCGAATTATTCACTTGCAAGTGAATAATTCATCATCAATGTTTCTTAGCTTATCTTGACAAAATTGAACTATACAGGCTGCTAAAAGCGATATAGTATTTCAATATTTCACTTTCATTAATGATTGAACAAAAACATCATACTTTATATTTTTTATATATCTCGTAGCTAGTGCCCCCTTTAACCTGTGACAGTGTTGTAACACTTAACAGACGATAAAATCATTATAAAAAGGGCTCGTCTTGTCAAATCACAAAATGACAATTTTCAACTATTAAAAATCCATGTTTTGCAAAATTAAAATATTAATTACTACACCTCCAATCGATTTGGAGTAAATATGTGTGATGCCAAAACATTTATATCGACACGAATAACTGGATAGAAAAACATGTTTAAATGATTATAAATAAAATCAATGTTATAGTACCAATAAAGACAATATTTAAAGTTCTTGCTACAAAATGTTACATTGGTAATCTAAAACAATGCGTTTAATGACCAATATGTTTGTATAGTTCGTACATGATTGTGTTTAATTTACGAACTCTGTTAACAACATCAACGTAAACAATGGGATGTGATATATTTTTTGCAATTAGATTGCATGTAACGCCTAACTAACATGCAATGAACGTATTTACAATGTAGTTAAGGTTTTAAAAGAAATTTGCAGTGACGAAATCCTCGAATTTATAATTTACCAGTTGTAAAAGCGTACATAAATTACATGCATTGAAATCTAACAAAGCTTAAGCGTTACTGTAGACACGGGTATGGTGAATATTTTGGAAAATTTACACTACATAAGAAGGACCATTAGAACATCACTGGAAAAAAAAGAAAATTTACAGTATGGATCGAATGACTAATCAGTCTCTTTTGTCGTAAGTTTTTGGTATTTTTTTGTCATCAGCATGGATTATAATATAAACATAATATAAAAAAGAAGATGTGGTCTGATTGCCAATGAGACAACTCTCCACAAGAGACCAAATGACACAGAAATTAACAACTAAAGGTCACCATACGGCCTTCAACAATGAGCAAAGCCCATTTGGTATAGTCCGCTACAAAAGGCCCCAAATGACAAATGTAAAACAATTCAACCGAGAAAACTAACGGCCTAATTTATGAGTGTTTTAAGATAACCAAAAGTTCTTTTTCTTTGTCTGAGTTTATAGATGTTAAACCCTCTCGCAATATTCTCGCAGATATATTTAGATGAGTAGAAATTCAGACAAGAGATCGGTTTTCCATTGTCAAAATCGGTTTTGCGTGTATTGACAAACTGTGACTTCTCATATATAATATTAACTGTTGGCATATATAAAAGTAAATTTCTCTGTATTGAATCAAACTCTGAGTGGAAATCTATTAAATGTTAACATAAAAGTAAATTTCTCTGTATTGAATCAAACTCTGAGTGGAAATCTATTAAATGTATATGTGTTTTCTTCTTCTCTATGTGTTCAATAGTTCAAATAATGCATGCAATAAATAGTATGATGATGACCATTCGTGATTTTCCATACATGAGTTTTGTGAAGGATTAAAAGTTGATATAAGAAATCACATTCTTTCTGATATATATAATGATGTTGATTACTATTTAAAGCCCCGATATAGCTGGCAACAACTTCTTGTAAGGGATCTTGAAAATTCTACCTTGTATGGGTGTGAAGCCTTTTTTAACAATATGTACTTTAAAAATGGCAATTCAAAGTTCGTGATTTAAATGAATCCCTGAACTACACACTGGGTTACTATTTTAAACCTAGTCTGTAGATTATTTTCAGTAGAGTAAACAGTATTACACGGAGTGTTAAAATAATTACATTTTCTACATATTTACACACAACAATTAAAAACAAGTTTTCTACGAAGTCCGATATATATGTGCCAGAATCATACATATTTTGTCAGGATCAGGATCATACATATTTTGCCAGAATCATAGATTTTTTGTCAGAATCATAGATATTTTGTCAGAATCATTCATCTTTTGTCAGGATCATTCATCTTTTGCCAGGATCATTCATATTTTGTCAGAATCATACATATTTTGTCAGAATCATTCATATTTTGCCAGAATCATTCATATTTTGTCAGAATCATACATATTTTGTCAGAATCATACATATTTTGTCAGGATATCGCTCACACATATTTTGTCAGGATCATACATATTTTGTCAGGATATCGCTCACACATATTTTGTCAGAATCATATATATATTTTGTCAGGATCATGATCATACATATTTTGTCAGGATCATACATATTTTGTCAGGATCAGGATCATACATTTTTTGTCAGAATCATAGATATTTTGCCAGAATCATTATACATATTTTGTCAGGATCATACATATTTTGTCAGGATCAGGATCATACATTTTTTGTCAGAATCATAGATATTTTGTCAGAATCATACATATTTTGTCAGGATTTGTCAGGATCATACATATTTTGTCAGAATCATACATATTTTGTCAGGATCATGAACATAGATATTTTGTCAGGATCATACATATTTTGTCAGGATCATACATATTTTGTCAGGATCAGGATCATACATTTTTTGTCAGAATCATAGATATTTTGTCAGAATCATACATATTTTGTCAGGATCATACATATTTTGCAGAATCATACATATTTTGTCAGGATCATGAACATAGATATTTTGTTATGATCATATATATTGTAAATCAAATATAAATTGTTATATTTGATATGGTTTTAAATGAGCATGGCACTATACGAAAAGCGAGGATGATTGTAGGTGTTAGTGACCCAGTGGCGGATTCATGTAGGAGGTGGGGGCCTCATATCGTACTCCACGATTGGCGACGCTACGCTCGATGTCGGTATTGTTTTACTTTTTTCACACTTTACGCCTCCCCTTTTCCTCTGACCATGGATCTGTCTCTGGTATCGTGCATCTCAGTCCAGAATCTGGCTAGCCACATTGGATTCAAGGTCCTTCGCATAAGCTGGGTACAATTTCTATATATTCAAAGGGATCAATAATATTCTTTTGTTTACACATCGTCAACACTCAGCCATTCTCTTCTGCAGTATGGGCATTTTTGTAGTCTTTCTGTCAGACATGCTGTATGGAGCCCATGTTCGCAGTGTGTATTTTTTGGTAACTTCATCTGTGTTGTTAGTTGTTACCAGTCTCAATGTCTCGGA